CCCCAAAACCCCAAAACCCCAAAACCCCAAAACCCCAAAACCCCAAAACCCCTTACGCATGCCAAATGGTTGAATTGAACTAACTCAATATTTTATTAAATTTCAAGTTTCATCGAACGCATCCATGAACAAAGATAAAACAGATTCTTCAGAACAAAATGGTCGCCCTGCTGAACCAGGCGATCAGATTTGTAAAGTAGATTCAGATCAGAATTTGGAAAAACAAACCTCTGAAACAATAGAAAACTTAAAGGGAGGAGTAAATATGGGTTCCAAACCGAACACAGTAAACCTTAAAAATCAACCTGATGGAGAAGCCCCCACAGGCCAAGAAATTGATAGAAATACTCAGGAAATTACACAGAATTTAGCCGTACCTGAAATAGCTCCTGAAGATAACATGAAAAAAATCGGAGAAAAAGAAGGTACAAATTCACCTGCTCAAAATATTTTAAAAGAGCCACAAGAAGAACCAGAGGCGGAAACTCATCAAAATCAAGTAAGCGAGGTTGCTCCTGCTATTGCGGAAGCATCTCAGCCTCAGAAGGAGATGACCGCTGAAACGAGTGAAAATTTTCCTAAATCTAGAGTAATGGAAGTGAATACTGAAAATATCTGAGAGAAGCCTATAGAGCATCAAACACAGCTTATTGAAATTAGCAAAGAAAGTCCTGAGAAGCCTGAAAATCCCAGGAAAAATACTGAAGAAAAATTAGGAAGTATAGTACCTCAAGCTCCAAGTGTAAAAAGATCACTCCGAGAGCGTAGAACTCGCGGAATAAGAGGGGCAGATGCTTCGCACAAGTGCCACGTCTGTGAGAAGAATGGCTTAAGAGCTGGACTCATCCCATGAACACAAGGCAAAGAAGAATGTGACATTTTCTTTTGAAATATTTGAATTAAATAAATTTAACCAGTCCTTAAGTGAAGAAGATAGCCTAAAGGGCATTGAGTGCCCAGTGTGTCAGGGCATCTGTTCTTGCTCTAAATGTAGAGCCTCTGTCCTTGAGGAGGACTTCCAAAAAGTCAATGAGCTCCTAGCCCAAACCGCAAGTAAAGATGGTGGAATGGGCAATCAAAATGCTGGATTACAGCCCGAGCCTACAAAGGCAGAACATGATGTTGAGATGGAAGCAGAGATCACTCAAAGACAAGAAGAGTTTATGCCGGAGGAAGATAAAATTGAAGACCCAGCTCCTCAATCCCCAACTGAGATAGATTCATCTGCTAATCAGACCGGACAAACATCGTCAAGAGGAAGAAGAGCTGGAGTTCCAAGAGGGCCATACAAAAAGCACAATAGTGATGGTGCATCTAAGAAGAAGTCCAAAAGAGGAAGAAAGAGGAAGAATAGGAATCTCCACGATGGCTCTTCGGATTCAGATATAGATCTTTTCAACTATGACAAATTTTTAAAACGAGCGAGTAAAAAGGGAACAAGAGTTCATATGAATGTCAGGATGTATGCTCTTAGAACTCCAGTTGAAGGCTTCACTTGTTTGCTCAGATCAACTCTTCCTGTTGAGATAGATCAAAAGACCCAGAATTCCAAGAAGACAAATATGGTAAAAGAGAAAGAGATAGTGCCTGCCCAAATGGAACCTTCCGAAGATATTATTAAGAACGAGAAAGAATTTGCTGAGCAAGATTTTGGACATGAAAATTCAGAAAGACAAAATTCTAACAAAGATTACTTGCACGCTGGTGAAGACTTCTATAATGTCGATGGTTATGAAGCTGGCAGATACAACCTTCGGAGACGAGCAGCTGAAAAGAAATATTATGTCGAAGACGTTGAAGGTGAAGGAGAGTTAGAAAATCCAAGGTACCTTAAAGCTGAAGAGTTCAAACAAGTTGCTCGGCCAACTCCTGGAATCGGAACAAGCGGATATAGTAAGCTTTATTCCGAATAATTCTTATAGATAAGAAAAAGAGAAAGAAGAAAGAAGATGATGAAGAATATGTGGCTGAAGACGATGACGATCAAGAAGAGAATGACGAGTTGACACCAGATAAGCTACAAATGAAGAACAATATGATGAACATGCACAACAACATGCCTCAGATGAATCATCAGCCATTTGGAAATCCTGGCCTTCCCCAAATGAACCCAATGGCAATGATGGGCAATCCAATGCAAGCTCAGATGGGAAATCAAATGAGTAATCAAAAGAGTAAGTCGATTCGGATTTATATAATAATACTATTATTTTCATATGATTCCAAAGCTAACAGTTTTAGGTCTAGGCATGCAGAACAATAGACCGCAAAACATGCAAGGAATGATGCCAACAATGGGAGGATTTCCCGGCATGATGGGAATGCCACAAAGTCTAAATTCGTTATCCTGGGGACTAAACAGGATGCCGAATAACTACCAGAACAACTTCCCTCAAGCAACATCATCCCAAATGGGAAATCAAACCTTTGGTGGTATTTCAACTCTACCTGGAGGTAGTATGGGAAACAATCCCAATAACTTCAATTATCAAGCTCAACGCCATAACACCCAGGGTATGAGTCCAATGCAGTCTTATCAAATGGGACAGAAGCCGAATATGTCTAACAACACGTTCCCACAACAAAACCCTCAAATGAATGGTAACCCCATACAGAATATGTACTTCCAAGGCCAAGGCCAAAACGGAATGATGAATAGGATGAATAACAGAATGAACTAGACTAATTCTGGAACTTTTAACTAATTATTACATCAATTCATAAACTACTATTTGGGGTTTTGGGGTTTTGGGGTTTTGGGGTTTTGGGGTTTTGGGGTTTTGGGGTTTTGGGG